CAGGTTCCTCATGAGTACAATTGGCTGTTCTGGAATTCCCATTCTTCTCAAGGTTATCCATAATTTGTTATGATCCATACAATCAAATGCTTTTGCATAGTCAATAAAACATAAGCAAACATCCATTTGACATCAGTAATGATACCCCTCATTCCACGTCCTCTTCTGAATCCAGCTTGCATTTCTGGAAGTTCTCTGTCATTACACTGCTGCAACCGTTTTTGAATTATTTTCAGTAAGATTTCACTTGCATGTGATCCTAATAATATTGTTCAGTAGTTTCCACATTCTGTGGGGTCACCTTTCTTTGAAATGGGTACAAATAGGGATCTCTTCCAGTCAGTTGGCCAGGTAGCTGTCTTTAAAATCTCTTGGCATAGACAAATGAGTGTCTCCAGCAAGGCATCCATTTGTTGAAACATCTCAGTGAGTATTCTGTCAATTTCTGGAGCCTTGTTCTCCACCAATTCCTTCAGCGCAGCTCTGACTTCTTCCTTTAGTACCACTGGTTCCTGATCATATGCCACTTTCTGAAATGGATGAGCATCGACCAGTTCTTTTTGGTACAGTGACTCTGTATATTCCTTTCATTTTCTTTTGATGTTTCCTGCATCGTTCAATATTTTGCCCATAGAGTCTTTCAATATTGCAACTGGAGGCTTAATTTTTTTCCTCAGTTCTTTCAGCTTGAGAAATGCCAAGCATATTCTTCCCTCTTGGTTTTCTAACTCCAGGTCTTTGTACATTATAGTAATTGGCTTTGTCTGTTCGTGCTGCTCTTTGAAATCTTCTGTTCAGCTGTTTTATCTTGTTACTTCTTCCATTTGCTTTAGCTACTTTCCACTCAAGGGCAAGTTTCAGAGTCTCCTCTGAGATCCATTTTGGTCTTTTTTCCTTTCCTGTCTTTCTAATGACCTTTTGCTTTCTTCATGGAGGATATTCTCGATGTCATCTCACAATTCCTCTGGTTTCTGATGATTGGTGTTCAATGCTTCAAATCTATTCTTTAAATGGCTTTACTGGTCAGTGCATAAATTTGCATAGTTGTACTATTAACTGGTCTTCCCAGTAGACATGTGGATATTGTCCTACCACTGACAGCACTGGACTTCAAATAGATCTTGAAATGTTCTTTGTGACTATGAATGTGATGCTATTATTCTTCGTCATTCCTGCCATTGCAGACAAATGACTGTTCAATTCAAAATGGCCAATACCAGTCCACTTCAGGGAGCTCTGCTGGTGTGTGCCTAAGGCATCTGACTGCTAACCAGAAGGCTGGAAGTTCAAACCCACCAACCACTCCTTGGAAAGAAGGTAGGGCAATCTACTTCCATTGTGATATTGCCTCAGAAACCCAAAGAGGGGTCATTATGAGTCAGATCTGACTCAATGGCAGTGGGTTTGGTTTTTTTGGTTTTAGTCCACTTCCACTCACTAATGCCTAGGATACTGATGTTTCTGCATTCCATTCCATTTTCGATAACTTCCAATTTTCCTATATTTATACTTCATACATGTGATGGTTATGTTTGTATGTCAACTTGGCTAGGCCTGGTTGAGCGGCTGGGCAGCTAGATGTAGTATTCCCCATGATGAGACTGGTAATCAACTCAATGGTGGAATCTACTGGGAGCAGCTGAGTAGCTGCCTTTGGTTATGGGGTCTGCTTCCTGTATATAAGGAGAAGCTTTGAGAATGGTCTCTAGCGTATGGCATGCTTGGACCCTGCATGGAGCCATGTCGTTGCTCAGCAGCCTGCCGACCTTCGGACTTACAATGGACTTAAGTTAATGGCCTGCCGTGTGGTTTGGTAACATCAAAACTGCACCTTTTTACTTGTCAACCTTGGGGCTTCTCAGCCTCAGCAGCCAGCAGCTGAGTGAAGAAATGCCTCTAGCTCCAGTGGGCTGGGAGCAGGAGGCAGAGCTAGACCCCAAGGTTGAGGGGCTTTCAGCCAGTCCCTAGAGCCTGAACTTGGACTTAAAGCCTCCAAATTGTAAGAATAAACTCCTGTTTGATAAGGCCATCCCATTTGTGGTATATCTTGTCATAGCGGTACTAGGTAACCAGAACAATATATAAGGAGCTCTGGTGGCATAGTGACTAAGGCATTTGGCTGCTAACTAAAACGTCAGCATTTCAAACCCACCAGCTACTCCACAGAAGATGAGGCAATTTACTTCCATAAAGATTTACAGCCTTGGAAATCCAATGGGGTAACTATGAGTCGGAATTGACTTGATGGCAGTGAGTTGTTTTTTTTTTATACTTCGTACGTTCCACGTTTCAATTATTAAGGATGTTTATAGCTGTTTCTTCTTACTTTCTTACACAAAATCAGCGTATCAAAGTCCAGAAAGCTTTACTCCATCCACATCATTAAGGCTGACTCTACTTTGAGAAGGCAGATCTTCCCTAGTCGTATTCTGAGTACCTTCCGACCTGAGGGGCTTATCTTTTGTTTTATTATTTATCAATGTTTCAGGGCTATTCATAAGGTTTTCAGTGAGCAATTTTTTCAGAAATGGACTACCACATTCTTCTTCCTAGTGTGTCTTAATCTGAAAGTTCTCCTGAAACCTGTCCACCAAGGGTGACCCTGTTGGTATTTGAAATATTGGTGGCACAGCATCACAGCAACACGCAAGTCACCATGGTACGACAAACTGTGTCTCAATCAGCAGTTTAGCTGAACCAGTAAAGAACACCTCCTGTGAGCACTGTGACAGCTATCTATGTGGGATCAAACAAGAGCAACACATACAATTAGACAGGAATCTTAGGGGGTAGTGAGTTTATGATGATGGAGGAGGAACAACTCAGAAAAGGAAGGTTAAAATGGTTGCACAACTCAAAGATTGTAATCAATGTCACTAAATGGTACATGGAGAAGCTGTTGCTATAAGTCTGAATAGACTCCAACAGCAGTGGGGTTGTTTTGTTTTTTTGTCTTTCTTTCTGACTTTTGCTGTGTGTAGTCTCAATAATAATTTTTTAAAAATGAGAACCATACACCACACATACACACACACACACACACACACACACAAACCCCACACATCACGGGAGGGTCACCTGGCTGTCTACTCATCTGGCTCCTGGGACCTCTCAGGGACCCTAAGGGGTTACTAGCCCCACCTCGGGCCTTCAGTCAGATTTCGGTTGGGATCTTTGGGGGTGAGGTTTGGGCATCTTCTAAGCCCCCACCCCAAATGCTTCCCATGTCCAGCCAGAGTGGCATCCCGACCCCTTCTAGGGTCTCTCTGTCTTCCATTTGTCTGTCTGTCCTACTGTGGTGGCTTGAGCATAGCTGTGGTGGTGGAAGCCACACCACTGGTATTTCAAGTATCATCCATGTGGGTCACCCACGTGGACAGGTTTCTAGACTAAGACAGAGTAGGAAAAAATGCCTGGGGATCCACTTCGGAAAATCAGCCAATGAGAACCCTACAGAGCACAGCAGGATACTGTCCAACTCCCTTGTTCTGCACCCATCAGAAGGAGTGGTCGATGGCCGGAAGAGAACATCATGTCTGGCGAAGCAGAGGGTCAGCAAGGGGATGGAGACCCTCGGTGAGATGGATGGGCACCAAAGCCACAGCAACGGACATTCCAATGATCGTGAAGGCAGCACAGGACCAGGAAACGTTCCATTCTGTCGTATGCGACGTCACCATGAGTCAGTTAACTCGACAGCAACTCTCTGTCAAAGACTACAGTCTTCAGCGTGGATTGCAGTTCAACATAAAGAATACAAACATCTTCACACTGTACCAATAAGCAACAATATGATAAATGAAGAAAACACGGAATGTGTCAAAGATTTCATTTTCCTTGGATTCACAATCAAATGCCCATAGAAGCAGCAGTCAAGATATCAAACTACGTATTCCTTCGGGCAAATCCACTGCAAGACGTCCTTAAAATGTTAAAGAGCAAAGATGTCACTTTGCTGGCCCTAAGGCCCTAAGATGCGCCTGACCCAAGCCATGGTATTTTCAGTAACCTACCTCACCTGTATGTCGAGTTCTGTGATGAATAAGGAAGACCACAGAAAAACTCGGGGTGGGCTGTTCCCAAGCAGACATGCTTTCCACCCCATTGCTGGTGTGCTGACCAGGGAGTGGCCAGAGGGAAGGCTGAGCGGGTGCTGGCATGAAGAAGCCTTAAAACCAAACCAAGACCATCAAACCAAACCAAGAACCAGCTGCCCAGGAAATGGCTAATGACCAACATGTCTCACTTCCCTACAAGTGGCTGCCCCAATTTCTCTGCAGCAAGTGACAGTGTCCTACTGCTGCCCTGTCCCCTGTGCCCCTTCTCTTACGATGGCACTGGGGCAGTTCAAGGAAGCAGCCCTTTTATCTCTCCAGCCTCTGCCCCAGACTGGCCCAGCAGATGCACAATGAAATCCAAAGACAAATGTGTGCACGTCTGGCTGTCAGATGCCTCCATGAAATGTGGAACCTTGTCTCCCGGCCTATGGAAAAAGGGATTCTCTCCCCGGCTTCCTCACTGTCATCAGCATGTACCATAATCTTGAGGCAATAACCCCTGACATCAAAGAACGGATTAGGAATACCATGTCTGCACTCTCATGAGAGCTTCTGCCCCATGGTCAGCAACCCCACCCCACTGCCTCTCTCTCCTGTTCCACGGTTCCCTGCTGTCCTCAGGGCCTAAGGACCTGGCCAGAATCATACAGGGCTGCGCATCATTCTTGGAGATGTACACAGGTGGGTGGCAGGGGCAGAGCTACCAGATGGAGTCCACACACCAACTAAAGGAGAAACAATGTGTGCAGAGCGCAAGGCAAGGAGGGCTGAGGTTTCAGATCACCTCACCACCCCCTTTTCTGGGCCCCTGTGGCATTCACAATGACAAGGCTGTTCTACCACACAGCCATGAGCCTCCTCACCTGGGTGCTCTTCCTCACCTAGGAGCACCTCACCTCAGAGGATCTGCTCCCCTCTCCTCACCTGAGTGCCCCTCCTCACCTGGGCTCTGCCGCAGCCACTCACAGTCCTCAACCTTCATCTTCCACGTCAGCTCCTGCAGCGACAGCTTGGCGCGCTTCCCCAGAGAGATGAACGTCTTGACGTTCTTGAGGAAGCGGCACTTGTTGTGGCTGGAGCCCCAGAGGCCGGCAGGCACCAGGCGGTGAAGACAGGCCCGCACGAACATGTACACTTGCCAGGGGCTGCTATGCTGGCGGAGCAGCCGGACCACGCGCAGGCCTGCGTCCTCCTCGGGGGTGGCCTTCACCGCCGGCCCAGGGGGCTGCTCCGGGGTCCCAGGACCCACCCTGCCACTTCCTTCAGGGGTGGCGTTGGCCGAGCCCCGCCTCGGGCAGTACGTCTTCAGGAGCGCGCTGTATGGGCACTGCGCATGGTTTCTGAGCAACTCCTGAAACAGGGGCAGCATCCGCCAATAGCGCGGTGGTAGACGCCGCAGCTGCATCTTCCTTCCGGCCGGTGCTGCGCCCAGGAAAATGGTCTCCACAAGCCTGCGGGCCCCTGTCACACTGCCCTGCAGCGAGCTGAGGAGAAAGGAGCTGGGCAGACGCTCCTTGTTTCCTGGGCAGTAGAGGAAACGCTTGGTCTCCACGGCCTGGGGTCGCGGTAATGGGGGCGTCTTAGTGGATGCAGGGCCGTCCCCACGCTCCCTGGTCCCCTGCGTGGAGGAACGAGTTCCAGAAGGTTCGCCCTCCGAAGACATGGCTTCCGCAGCAGCTCTCGGTCCAGATGTCACCGCGTGGAGATCGCTGTCACTCTGCACACGCGTCCTACCCAGGTAGGCCCAGGACGCCGCCTCCTCGCGCCCAGACTGCGGTACCCGCCCTGGCTCCAGGGCCAGCACTCGCCTGGGTCTCTTGGCCAATGGCTCTCGCTCGCCCGCTCCGTCCCGACGCCGCCTCGCGCCCCCTGCTGTCCCGCGCGGGGCTCCGCAGCCCGGCCCCAGCCCGCTGGCGTCCCGAGCGCAGAGCTCGTAGAGAGGCGACCCGCACACCTGGTAGGCGCAGCTCGGGGCTACCAGCAGATAGAGCGCGCAGCGCGCCAGCAGGTGGGCCAGCACGTCGTCGCCCAGGCGCTGCAGCAGGAGCCTCCAGGCGCCGCTGCCGCGCAGCGTGTCGGTTACCGTGTTGGGCAGGTAGTTGCGGACACTGGTCGTGAACGCCATGGGCGGATCGCCGCAGGCCTCGTCCAGCAGCGCGAAGCCGAAAGCCAGCACATTCTTCGCGCCGCGCTCGCAGAGCCGCTGCACGACCCTAGCCACCAGCTCCTTCAGGCAAGAAACCTAGGGGGAAGAAGGGGCGCCTGAGTCTCGCTGCAGCGGCCAGTTTGCCGCGGTCCTCCCTGAGTGTCGCCCAGGGCGCGGAGTCCCGTCCTGTCCCCAGGAGGCCCACCTGGCGGAAGGAAGGGGCCGTGGGGGGCGGCGGCGCGCCCCAGGGCACGCACACTAGGCACTGGGCCACCAGTGCGCGGAAGGCCGCTGGGTCCCCGCGCCGCACTAGCCGGCGGCCTTCGGTCCCCAGGCGCCGCGCGAACGTCGCCAGCGGCAACACCTCGCGGTAGCGGCCTCGCAGCAGGGCGCGCACGGCCCGGCACCGGGGCGCCCGCGGCATCCCTGGAGGGGCGGGAACGAGGGTTGGTGTGCAGGTGTCCCACGTGCTTCTGGCCCTGGCGCGGATGCCCACGCGGAGGCGAAGGGGCGGGGCCCAAGGCGAGGGGGCGGGGCGGGGCCCGAGAGGAGGAAGAGGAGCCGTTGTGCGCCATGGAGAAGGGGCGGGGGCGGGGTCCGGTCCGGGTCCCGAAGGAGAAGGAGGCGCTAACTCCCGCGAGCACCGCGGAGAAGGGGCGGGGCTATGGCGCGGGGCGGGGTCCGAGGGGAGGGTCAGGAGCCATTTCCGGCGCGCACAGAAGGGGCAGGGCCCAGAGCAGTGGGGGCGGAGTCCAGAGCAAAGGGCTGCCAGGGGCGGGGCGGGACCGAGCGGAGCGGATGCTGGAGAGTCGGAGTTGTCTCCAGAGGAGATGGCCGAGTTCAAGTCTGAGGTGGGCCGGCCGCCTGCTGGGCACCGAGGACGTCGATCCTCCACACTGATCACCTTTCCTTCTGGCTCTCCTAGTAGCTGTGGTTCCTGCTGCTGGCGCCATGATATCCACGAGGTCTCAGCGCAAATGTGTTTACGGACGTGCCTTGGATTGTGCCTCTGCTGTGGGCGTTCCAAGCCACAGTCTCCTACCAGGGGCAGGCAGCTCCACATCCGCTGCCTGATTTGGGGCCATCAGAGACGGCCTCGCTGCAGAGAGGGTCGAGGCCCTGTGTTACCTGAGGGTGGCGCAGGATGGGCCTGGGGTCACTGGGGGACTTTGGTGCATTCTGCGCCCGCTGGGGGAGGAGCCTTGTGCACCAGCACCTTTTCAGATGCTCTGCTGGGTGGCTGCTAGTGTTCCAACTGAGAGGGGCCTGGAAGGAGCAGGGCCAGCATCCACCAGCGCCTGTGAGTGGTAGAGATGGGAAAAGAGCACTGTGGTAGTTAGGTTTGTGTGTCAACTTGGCTGGACCTGGTTGAGTGGCTGGGCAGCTGGTAGTAGTTATTCCCCATGATGAGACTGGCAGTCAGCTCCATGGTGGGGTCTACACAAGCAGCTGAGTAGCTGCCTTTGGGAATGTGGTCTGCTTCTTGTATTCAAAGAAGCCTTGGGAATGGTCTCTAGCCTTTGGCACACTTGGACCCTGCATGTAGCCATGTTGTTGCTCAGCAGCCTGCTATTCTCTGCCGGCCTTGGGATTTACAATGGACTTAAGTTAATGGCCTGCCATGTGGTTTGGTAACATCGGGACTGTGCCTTTTTATTTGTCAACCTTGGGGCTTCTCAGCCTCGGCAGCCAGCAGCTGTCTGAGTGAAGAAATGCCTCTAGCTCCTGTGGGCCGGGAGCCGGAGGCAGAGCTAGACCCCA